TTGTACGTAGCTGTTGCATCAAAGCAACCTGGATGCTGTTTTCTTCGGATTCCACTTAGGGAATGTGGGCATTTGATATTCCTGGAGTTTCCTGGATGTTCAGAACATTTGTTTACCGCTGTTTCCCCTATCGCCTGGGGAGGTTGAGGACAAATGGATTCTCGATGCTGTGAGATTTGGGAGGGTGTTCCCATCAAGTGATCTTGGTGTGATCAATAGCAACCAGATTCTGGGGGACCTGCATACGCTATATAGGCAGGTTGTCCCTAAGCGTGGCAAGTTCCACCGTTTGCTCAGTCCAATTTAAGACCTCCCAGAGACATGGGCAGTACTTTGACTCGGCCAGTGTTCGTGCTTCGAGGAGTCACTTGGGGTGAAAACACAGCGCTTTGTTGTCCCTTTATTTGGCTGTGGCTCAAAAAACCGGTACCCAAATGGCTTGCCCTGGGTAAGTGGAAACATGGACCAAAACCTGCGGTTTGCCCCAGCGATCGTTTCATTTTGAGCCACATCCATTTCTTCTACCCGGAGCCACTTTTCGACGTGACGGGCTCCCGGCCGGGAACGTTTTCATGAAAAGGCGGCAGGTGATTTGCCGTGAGACCAGTACACAAGGCCTGCGGGAAGCGTCTAATTTGTAAGAGCTTTTTTAGGGTCACCAAAGAGATGATTTTTCGTCTCGCAAACGAAGAACCACATGGGCACTGCCCATGTTTGACCTTTCACTGGACACAACTCCAAATAGGAACCAAGCGTTTATAAGTACTAGTTGTCCCAAAAGGAAGAAAGACTCCGTGCAAGCCAACATGGAACCCAAAAAGGGCGTCCCCCAAAAGCAGATTCCCCTGCATGTTGTGTTTTTGGGGGATCTGCAGAGTCGTCTTTGACATCCAACTGCATGTCGCGAATGGAGCCTTTTGCCAGGATCAAGTTCTGGCACTGCTTCCCTGACAATGCGTGCTTGCAAGGCAGAGCAGGGGCTGGGGCTGGGGGGCCGGCGGGTGGGGGGGTCAAAGGATTTGATCGCACAGGCAGAAAAGCGATTCCTGGGTTCCATATTGATGATTTGGACCCTTTGCGGGGGGCTTTGCGGAGAAAAACAAATGACACAAGGGGTCCAACTGGCAGGATGAAGATCATGTTTGAACAAGTTGGCCCATGCACGTCTTTCCTGTAGATGGAATTTACTGCGCTGCAACATCTCCCCCAGTCGTTCAATGGATCCACCCTCTGATACCTTTCTGTTTGGTGGAGGTTTCATTTTGCGGCATGCCCCAGACACCTGCGTTTCAATCGTTGGGGCGCCACAAGTCAAAGGGTTCCATTTTTCTACCAGGGCCTTGCCAAACAGGAATCATGCCTGGTTTGACTGGAGCAAGTCTCGCATGCAGTCACACTATTCAACAGTCTATGGTCCGCATGTTTGGGAGAGACCAGGGGGGACGAGCTCAAAATTCCACACAAAAGTCGAGGACTCGCCAATTGTCCCACGTCCTTGCCGGAGACCACATCACAGCTGGTTGCATGTCTTTTTGTCAGAGCCCACCTGGAAGAAAAGCCACTTCTCGACCCCTTGCACGTCAGCAGCAAGTGCATGTGGATTGTGTCTAAATCGCGAACAAATCAATACCATCCCCAAAGTGAAGAACGTGGGGTGCTCCAAAAAGGAGACTTGATGATAATTCACTTTCCGTTCAACTGTCAGGGTTTCGGAATCGGGTTTAAACAGCTCCCCCACAGGCCTCCAGACTTCCCAACCCAAAACATTCGTCCATGCTAGGTTTTGAGAGCTCAAGACCTGGGTTTCCTCACCACAAAACAAGGAGCAAGAGTGGAAACATGATTTGGTTTCCTTTGGTTTCTCTTTTCCGGCCACCTATGTAGTCTTTGAAGCCCTGGTATGCCCCAACGCCACACCTGTCCCCAGCCTGGAGAGAGTAAAAAACAGCTTCATGGTATGGGTGAGTCTTTTTTGAGCCGCGGTGCCCTGTTGTTTGTTTGTGTGAGTGT